TGCCGAGGTTCCAGCTGACCCGGAGCCTCTCACCTGTCATAATCTTGGCAAATCTCTCCCACTGCCACCAAGGCCTTCAGGTACTCATTGGGCTGGTAAGGGTGGATGTAGTGCAGGGAGCAGCTGTTCCTGGGGTCCCCGTTCGAAGCAGTGAAGTCTATGGCCACCTGGAAGGGAGACACAGACCAGGCGGCTTAAGGGGAATGCAGCTCTTGGGAATTACGATCATCCACGAGAAGACACAAGCTCAGGAGGAGAAAAGCATATCAGGTAGCCTGCCGACAAGAAAAGGAAGGAGTGAGCGTGAACACCCGCTACTGATGTGGCTGAGGTCATTCTTCAGGTTTAAAAGCCACCTCCCCCAATTCCGCTTCCTCTCTGTGTCCAGATGGAACCTGAGATTGATGTGGGTCAGAAAGCCCGGCTGCTGATCTGTACCCCTGGCCAGCAGGGCGAGGGTAGAGCGTTCGCCTTCTCATTGCACACGGCACCGAGAACAGGCGTCGGTGCTCTCTGGGCAGGACAACTCCATCTCTGTACTACCGGTGAGACCCCTTAAAACCGAACCTGCGGTAAAGACGTGATCGTGGGAAAGTCACTGTCAGAGTCGCCTGTTGCAGAGAGATGTGACACATTTTCTGAAAGAAGCAGCACCTTGTAAGTCATTCGGGCTTCGGGTTCCCACTCACGTAAAAATGCCCCAGGTACAACAGAGAAGATGTTTGCGTCTTATGGCATTCTGTGGGAAGGGAGAAGGAACACCTCTCCATTTCACAAGGAGTCGCTAGCCTAGGGGTCAGAAAGAACGCATGAAGTCAGGGCGTCGTGACCTCTCACTCCTGGAAGAAAGGAGAATAGACTTTGAAGATGGTTGAATCCAGCACGGCTGCCGTGTGGTTGGAATCCTGGACGTGGCGACTGGAACATGCCCAGATCTTGAGAGGATAATGGAGGGGGGATTATGCTATGACTGCTCTCTGTGGGGGCTCCCTCCCTGCCCTCCTCATCTCTCTCTGGTGAGTGTATGTCCCTCTGGCTAAAATAAAAAAAAAGAAAAAGATGTTGACTTAATAAACACTTCTTTATTTTTGGAGAGGTTTTGCTATAGGGCGCATGCACTCGCCAGAAAAACAGAAAGACAGAAAGTGAGAAATCACCTCCCGGGGGGGGATGGCCACGCCGCAATCCCTTCTCCTCCATTATCCTCTCGGGATCTTGGGTACACATGCACACGTGCCCAGCGTGAGTTTAAGCCACCGGGTCCAGGACTCGAATCGCGGTCGACTACATGGGAGTCCAGCGACATAGCCATTACGCCATCTGCTGGTCCCTTAAACACTTCTTAGCAAACCTCAACAATAATAAATGCATAAGCCTGAGGATGTTAAAATGAGAAGAAATATTTCTTCTTATTTCCACCAGATCATGATCTATATAAAAGTTAACGTGGAAAGAAACTGTCAAAAAACGCTTAAGCTTGGGAAGAGGTGGGTTAAAGTGATGTGTCACATGGAAAGGAAGAAATATTCTCGTGTTTCTTTCTGGGTACAGTAGAATACTTTGTAATAATGCTTTCAATCCACACCACTGAGGTCATCCCGCCATGTGCGTCTTGATGCTAAGCTGGCAGTCTGTCCCAGGAGCCGGCTATCTGGCTGGGGCTCCTGAGGCTGGACTGACAACAGTGAATTGCCTGATTTGGTGGTGCTCTACAGAGACAGGAGCGCCTGGTGGAATTCCTTCCCCTGCAGGCAGGCCTCGGGGCTCCTACTCTTCCCTTGGGAATGACCCTGTGTCTGTGGTAATGAGAGATGATTTCAATTCAGCAGATTCTTAGGAAGGGTACGACCTTAAAAAAAAAAAAAAGATGAAAAATAAAATCAACCAATAGTCCTACTCTTCTAGCCTTTTTTGTAGTTTCCAGGGTCGTAACAAAAAGATTTCATCCCAGGGATAAAATCCAGGGAGCAATTATGTATATGGCCACTAGAAGATTTTCTTTATTTTCTGGCAAGTGATGGTTTCTGGAGATAAAATAGCTGTCTTTAGGAGGTGGCCTTCCACTAAGAATGCGCTGTGCGCTTTAAAGTTAGCATTAGCGGAGGGAACAGAGTGAAAGGTCAGGGCTATTTCAGAAAGCAGCAGGAGGCAGTGAAAGATGGGTTAAGTTAAGAAACAAGAGCAAGAAGATGGCTGAGAGTGCCAGTCTGCGGAGGTGGCTGCCGAAGCCTCATTCCCTGGTGCTGGGAGCCTGCAGGGCCACCACGTCCTCGTTTTCCGACACGAGGCAGTTATGGAACCTGTGGTTCCGGAATGCACTCCAATCTTCTCGGCGGGCAGCCCCAGAACAAGCACCCGCTGTTCTCCCCTTCTGCCCAGTAGGCTGCTCTCCTTATTAAGCAGAGCTTGGAGAAGCTGTGCAAAACCTCATAAAATAAGAATGCAGATGTGCCTTCCATGCCATCAAGTCATGGAGCCGGGAGCTGGTTCTGGGAGAAGATTGGAAACAAATGAACTTTGATCATCGGACATTTTTATCTACCTACAGGAAAGAACTCCACTCTTAGGTCCCTTTCTCCCATGGTCAACGAGTGTGGGGAGGCTGCTGTGAGCCAACCTCTGCTCCTGCGGCTTCTTCTTGGCAGCTCCCCCGCCCGCATTTGTAGACATTTGGAATTACCCAGGGAGCCTGATAGGTGGAGACACTGTTTAGTCTGGACCATTTCTTAAATGTCAGGTTAAACTCTTACTCTTCTGTTTCCACAAACCTTAACAAGGCAGTGAAATAGCAAAGCAGGGAAAGACCCCAGGAGCTCACTGGGTCGTTTTCTAGAAATGGCAAAGCATTTACCTCTTCACCCCCTGGTGTCACAGCTTCTCCTAGAGGCCAAAGAAGCAGGGCTTACGCCTCCTCTCAAGGGCCGGTTTCAGAGCTCATCACCGTTTAATCTGGGATATAAAGTCAAGACTTAAGAATTTAAAAACTTAAGCTGGAACACAGTGTGAACACATTGTGCCCTATCATGTTAGGGTGGGGAAAGATTTGCTGAGAAAACTTTTAGTAGGTGAACTAATTCTTTAGGCTTGAAGGGATCAGGCTAGGAAAAGCCACATTCAGCTGGTTATACCGTGTAACGCTGTAGGACTAAAACGCAAGATGCAGAATCAGAGGCAAAGGAGAGCAGAATCGCTTTCGATTTTAAAAGATTGCAGATAAGACAAATGGCCATCTGAAACTAAGAAAAAGGATACTGCTCAGGGTCCCACTAGTCTGGCAGCCTGGTTCCTCTTTCCTTTGTACATGTATCGTTGTTGTGGTTCCTCTTTCCTTTGTACATGTATCATTGTTGTGGTTCCTCTTTTCTTTGTACATGTATGTTGTGGTTTCTCTTTTCTTTGTACATGTATCATTGTTGTGGTTCCTCTTTCCTTTGTACATGTATCATTGTTGTGGTTCCTCTTTTCTTTGTACATGTATCATTGTTGTGGTTTCTCTTTCCTTTGTACATGTATCGTTGTTGTGGTTCCTCTTTCCTTTGTACATGTATCATTGTTGTGGTTCCTCTTTCCTTTGTACATGTATCATTGTTGTGGTTTCTCTTTCCTTTGTACATGTATCGTTGTTGTGGTTCCTCTTTCCTTTGTACATGTATCATTGTTGTGGTTCCTCTTTCCTTTGTACATGTATCATTGTTGTGGTTTCTCTTTTCTTTGTACATGTATGTTGTGGTTTCTCTTTTCTTTGTACATGTATCATTGTTGTGGTTCCTCTTTTCTTTGTACGTGTATCATTGTTGTGGTTTCTCTTTTCTTTGTACATGTATGTTGTGGTTTCTCTTTTCTTTGTACATGTATGTTGTGGTTTCTCTTTTCTTTGTACATGTATCATTGTTGTGGTTCCTCTTTTCTTTGTACGTGTATCATTGTTGTGGTTTCTCTTTTCTTTGTACATGTATGTTGTGGTTTCTCTTTTCTTTGTACATGTATCCTTGTTGTAATGATAGCCTAGCTCTGCATTCTTTCACTTAACGCTGTGTTGTAAACACACCCTCATGACACTAATTCTTGTATTTATGTTCGAAAATGGCTTTCTCATACATGATCCATTTGAAGGTGGTACTGCAATTCATGTAGTATGATCTCATTTGTGGGTAGCTGGGCAGCTTATGGTTTACAATGGATGTTTTTGTGCGTCTGGAAAAAGAACTTTCAAAGGAAATCTTTAATTCTTCTACCGTTTTCTTTCTAAATACCTCATGATATCTGTGTCTTCTGTGCTGTCTATGAGTTTGCAGTTTGCACGTGAAATTTGAGTACCTGTTTTATTTTTAGCTACGGCACCAGGTGCCAAGCCCAGCCTCTCACCCTGCAGTCTCCCCTCACCCCCACCTGGCTCCTCTGAGACGTGGGTGTGGCAGCTGCTCCTGAGCTCTTCTGACTCAAGGGTTCCCGTGAGGAAGAGCTGTCCTTAGGAGTGGCCTTGACCTCTCAGAGATGGTGCTAAATTAGGCGTGTACTTTTTCCAGTCAGAGGATATAGATTAGGTATCAGGTTCTCAAGTGGTCCAGTGGCCAAAAGAAGAAAAAGAATCGTTGACTAGGGCTCTGTCAGCATCATTTATCTCTTCCTTCCACTGGGGCTTTCTCCTTCCTTACGGTCAGACTTTAACCTAGAACGTCTTTCTCCACAATCGCCCTTTTCCTCTCTTGTCTTCCTTCCGTAGTCAACCTTTTTTTTTTCAGTTATATTATATTATATTATATTATTATATTATATTATTATATTATATTATATTATATTATATTATATTATATTATATTATACAGACTTACTCTATTCCATAGTCAGTCAATGAAGCACTAGTTATTCACTAAATGTTGAATACTGTCCAGGAGCAAATTGAGAAAAAGCCCCTACATAATTCAGGAAGAGTTGTAAGAACATGCATAGAGGGATAAGAGAATAAGGAGGAAAGCCTCTGACTCAGTCTGGGAAAGGCAGTAAAGTCCTCTCAGTGAAACTTCAGTTAGGTGTTCTGCAGAATAAGAGCATATGGGGCAAAGGGAAGTATGTAGCCACACACTGGAACAGCAGGGTCAGCAGAGAGAGATGGTGGGAAGGAAGATAGGAAGGATGCAGGGGACCCACCATAAAAAGCCTTGGCCCT